GCCAGGCACCCAAGCGGGACCCCCACCCTGATCCAGGACACCCTTCAGGGCAAACCAGCTGGCCCCCACCCGTGCAGCAGGCCTCTATCCTATCTAGTAAAAGGGTAATATGCCTCCCAGCACGGGGATCAGCGGAGCCGCGAGGCCTCCCCAACCTGGGTTCAGCGGAGCCGCAAGGCCTCCTGGCACCGGGATCAGCGGAGCCATGAGGCCTCCTGGCACCGGGATCAGCAGAGCCTCCCAACACCGGGATCAGTGGAGCAGCGAGGCCTCCCAGCACCGGGATCAGCAGAGCCACGAGGCCTCCCGGCACTGGGATCAGCAGAGCAGCAAGGCCTCCTAGGACCGGGATCAGCGGAGCCGCGAGGCCTCCTGGCCCCTGGAGCAGGGTGACAGGGGGCAGCGCCCCAACCCCCTGATTGGCCCTGCTCTGTGCGTGACAGGGGGTGGCGCCCCAACCCCCCAATCGACCCTACCCTGAGCGTGACTGGGGGTGGCATCGCAACCTCCTGATCCACCCTGCTCTGTGCATGACAGGGGGCGGTGCCCCAACTCCCCAATCGGCCCTGCTCTGAGCCCGACCAGGAGCTGCACCTAGGGATTGGGCCTGCCCTCTGCCACCCAGGAGCGAGCCTAAGCCAGCAGGTAGTTATCTTCCGAGGGGTCCCAGACTGTGAGAGGGCACAAGTGGGGCTGAGGGACACCACCCCCCCGCCAGTGCACAAATTTTTGTGCACCGGGCCTCTAGTATCATTATAAATGATAAATAATTCATATGCTTTATGTATCTAATATGGATTTTTTTATTCCATGAAACTCCCAAAATGATTCTTATGTTTGTATTCAGACTACCTAAAATTACAAACTCAAACAGTATTCTTAAAACATGGTGATAGCCCTAGCTGGTTTGGCTCAATAGATAGAGCGTTGGCCTGTGGACTGAAGGATCCCAGGTTCGATTCCAGTCAAGGGTACGTGCCAGGATTTCGGGCTTGATCCCCAGTAGGGGGCATGCAGGAGGCAACCGATCAATGATTCTCTCTCATCATTGATGTTTCTATCCTTCCCTCCCTCTCCCTTCCTCTCTGAAATCAATAAAATACATTAAAAAATAATAAAAGGGCATCAGTTCGGGGCTAAAACCCACATTTATTAGTGTATGAATGTGCGTGAGGGGTTGGTGGGTTCTAGGCTCCTCACACCAGGTTCAGTCCCTGTTGGTCACCCCTATGAGGCCTTCGGGTAAGCTTTGGTTGGGAAATAAGGTTTCCAATGCACACTGCTTGCCATGTAAGGACCAGCAGAGTTTTCTATATTTATTTAGAGGTATTTTCAAGATTTGGATTATGGATTAAAATCAACTTTAAAAAAAATCTCCTTTCTTTTTGTTTGCTTGCTTTTTATGGATTAACTGAATAAAATCTGTGTTAGTTAAGTATTCTGATTATTTGCAAGTTAAATGAGCAAAAGTGAACCAGGAGCCCTTCCTAGCCAGGGCATTAATTTCAGTGTATGTTAGCAATGCAATTTCTTATCAGTCAGCCTCACCATATGTGAGAAACATGTCACCGTAACTCCTAGTAACAGTGCAGTGAACTCTAGTAACTGAAAATTTTTATAGCCGATGACTTCACTAGACTTGTCTAGACAGCAGTTACTCTGTGAAATCATAGCATATTAGGGCTGGAACAGATCTAATAAAGATATTGTAACTTACATGGCCTAAATATTCTCTTTGCCATTGTAGCCATAGGGTGGGGGTTTATGGGACAGTGAGACCAATGTTGTTAGCCTGGAAAGTGGGCAACTGATAGGCATAAGTATGGAAAGGGCCTAGCCTTGGTTTTGGATGAAGTATAAACATGCATAACTATTCTCTGGAATTTGAAAGAAATTTGATGTCTGATTATGTTTGTCAAAATGGGAGAGACTCCCTGGAGGTTATACCTAGAGAAAATAATGGCAGTCAAATCCATAATCTTTGGGTTGACTCTCTTGGCAAAGTAATATTAGCTTTAAAAAAAATACTGCTAGCATTCTGATTTTTGCTAATGAAATGCAGATGCTCTCAAACATTCATTCAGCAGAGGGATTTGGACTAGGTCTGCATGTTTCCCTAACCTTCAGCCATTTTAGTCCTTGACAAAATAATTAGTCTATAGAACAACTGATTGACAAACAAGTTTTTAACTGATTGTTTTGCTCTCCTGGCTACTGACATAAAAGTGCCAGCTATGATTTAATGTAGAGCTTGAACTCTGTAATCCCACAGTTTTACTGGCCAGTGCCTGGCAAAGACCAGAATGTACCTGCTAGTGCAGAGGAGTCCAATGGCTTTGATTGATGGAGATTTGGTCTGAATCCCTAGGATAAAAATAGCCTTGTCTCTGAGCAAGTGCCTTGAGAGGCCTTTCTAAGATTTGGGCGTTTAAGCAATTGGATGGATGGGACATTACTAAGTGTCCCGAGGAGAAATATTAGCTGATCTTCTTATTAACTTTGTGAATGTGAGGAAGTGTCTTTCGCCTGTAAGACTTTCTTCAGAGAAAGAACACTAATGATTTCCTGATGATTTTGACTTATTAGCAATTAATGTAAAGTGCTTTGTATTTGGTGAAATGTTTTCATGTGAAGTATACTTTGCTCTGATCCTGAGACTGAGGGAATAACTCTTGTCTCTCCCTCTGACTGGCATATTTCTGCAGGAAGCTGCCCTCTGTAGACAGCTCCCCATGGAAGCCGAGACTCTGGCCACGGTTCAGGCTGCTGTTAACCCCCCCACCATGACTCCAGACATGAGATCCATCACTAATAATAGCTCAGATCCTTTCCTCAATGGGTAAGTGAATATTCGGGACCACTTATTTTTGCTTTCTTTATTTTGTGATCTAGAGTATGGTGTGTGTTTGTTTGTGTGGGAAAAGGTGGGGAGCTTGGAGGTTAGAGTGAGGATAGAGGTAGCAAGTAGTGGCAGAAAAAATAAAAGCAGAGGAAGTTAACTAATTTTCTTTTTTTAATCTCAAATTTAAAAATTGGTTATATGACATGGACTGAAACCCTTGTCAATAATTTTAAAATGGGGATGAACTTATTTCAGTGGGATGGTGTTATACACAGTAATTATTTGGAAAAATCTTGTGGTTTAATGTAGTTAGTGGGGGTGGGGGGATGGAGGAAGCATGCCATGTGACAAATAGAGAACATAACAGTTAAGAAATGATGTTTATGGTGAAATGTGAGTAAGGTCTGTAGTTCAGTTAATAGTGTTATATGATGTCAGTTTCCTGGTTTTGATCCTTGTCCTGTGGTTACGTAAGTGTCCTTGGGGAAGCAGGGGGAGAGTGCACAGGGATCTGTTCCTTTTGCATCTTCTATGTGATTCTAAAATTATTCCACAATAAAATTAATTTTAAAAAGATGATGTTTTAAAATAGGAAACATAAGAGCAGACAGAAAAGATAAGTTAGTCAGGAATATCTTCATGAGCAGAAGTAGTTACCTTTAGTTTCTTAAACTCAAATAAAGGGCAGGGTTCTATTTCCTGTGCCTTTTCTGTCCTTTCAGAGGATTCTGGCAAACAAATACAATTATGAATGCTATTAAAAATAGAGAGAGGTGAAAACAAACAGTAGCTAAAATAATGAAGGAAAGTTTTTAAAGTGTTGATTTTAAAGTATTTCAAATGTTCAGAAAAGTATAAAGAATAATGTGAGATACACCATGTACCCCAAACCCAGATTTCCCATATTTTTATAGGTTTATTTTTTGAAATAAGCATTACAGTTAATATTTAAACTCATTCCTACCACTGCACATTCATCACACATGCTTTTATGTTTCTGGTTGCCTGATAATGTGTGCATCCCTAAGCAGCGTTCAACACTGTTTTCTATATTTTTAAAATTTATATAAATGCTACTATACTTGATATGTAGACTAGTGTTCAAAATACTATTTTAAGATGAAAAGGAAATCAACCAATTTACTATGAACAGCCTATTTTATTTGCTTACAATTTATTAATTTCATGGACATTGGGTGTATGTTTCAAAAAAATTAAAAGGAGCTACAAATTGTGCCTCTCTTCATTACCTAGAAAGTTGGGCCAAATGACAGAACTACACTAGGTTAGGGTTTTCATGACTGTACTTAAATTTGGAGATTTCTTTAGTGGGTTCATCTTGACATTCCTCCACTTTTGCTCTCCAGAGGGCCATATCATTCGAGGGAGCAGAGCACCGACAGCGGCCTGGGGCTAGGGTGCTACAGTGTCCCCACCACCCCGGAGGACTTCCTCAGCAACGTGGATGAGATGGACACAGGTAGGAGCAAAGCCTGCAAGTACATGCAATGAGTTTGTATTTTTTTTTAAATTAAATCTTTATTGTTCAGAT